CACTATAAAAAAACGTGCTTAGTTCTTCACCTCGTTAGGGTAGTACGGAAGAAAGTACATAACATTGCAGTAATTTTTTTTTTCGTTTTTTTTATTTTATTTTAAAGTCGAAAATGACAATGTTCCGAGGGTTTCCGGGATTCATCCCTTGGTGATAATATAGCTTATATGATGCATTACATAATACAAAAAGCAATTTCTTAAGAAAGCTTAAGAATAACGAATAAAATAAAAATAAATGTTGAGCTCCATACAAAAAAAAAGTAATTATTGTCAATAACTTATTAAATAATAACTTTATCAAAAAAAGTTACATAACATAAAATATTTCTTTTTGGCAAAGGAACACATTGGCGTAGTTATATTTACAAAATTTGGCAGTTATTTAATTTTTTTATTTTTTTTTATTTTAAAGTCCAAAATGACAATGTTCCGAAGATTTCCGAAATGCGACACTTGGTGATAACATAGCTTATATGTTGCATTACATAATACAAAAGTTAATTTCTTAAGAAAGCTTGAGAATAACGAATAAAATAAAAATAAATGTTGAGCTCCATACAAAAAAAAAGGAAATTGTCAATAACTTATTAAATAATAACTTTATCAAGAAACGTTACATAACATAAAATATTCCTTTTTGGTAAAGGAACACATTGGCATATTTATTTTTTCAAAATTCGGCACTTGATTTTTGAGCGACGCTAAGTCTATGAAGCTCTAATATCAGCCCACCGTGTGGCGGCGCAACCAGTCGCCGGCTACCAACAAAATGTATACAGCTCTATAGAGAGTTACTCACCTGGTGTCCGTTTGGTTGCGCAAAGCTGTATACATTTTATTGGTAGCGGCGACTGGTTGCGCCGCCATGGTGTCCCGGTGAAATATAGCCCTAAAGGTAGCCTTTCGAAGCGAGCGTTTATAGAGTCAGTGGCGCCGCGACTGAGCGACAAATTTTAATAGATGTTCTATGCAAATGTGTGAAATTCTAGGGAACGTCATTCGAACGCAGCGACACTGTTGCGGCGCGTTAGTGACGCGGCGTTGGTGGCACTAAAGGTAGCCTTTCGAACTAAGCGTCACAGACGCAGCGTCTTTAGATTTGGTCTTTAATGCCACCAACGCCGCGTCACTAACGTCGCGACAGTATCGTTGCTTTCGAATGTCGTTCCCTAGAATTTCATACATTTGCATAGTGATAGAACATCTATTTGTCGCTCTGTCGCGGCGTCACAGTCGCGGCGCCACTGACGCTATAGACTCGCTTTGAAAGGCTACCTTTAACTGCGCCTACCTCCGTTAATTATACNTCAATAATCATTTTGAAGCCATAAAAGAGCTTTTGGATTCGGGAGCTATTTCTGAATGCAAACCAAGTAGTGATCAATTTTTATCCAGCTACTTTCTGATAAAAAAGAAAAATGATAAATATCGTTTCATTTTGAATTTAAAATCATTAAATAAATTTATTAGGACTGACCATTTTAAATTAGAAGATCTTAGAACAACTCTGAAATTAGTATCCAAAGACTGTTATATGGCTTCTCTCGATCTAAATAATGCATATTTCTTAATTTCGGTAGACAAACGGTACAGACAGTATTTAAGGTTCCAATGGGACGACAAACTCTTCGAATTCAATGTTCTTCCTTTTGGTTTAAGCACAGCCCCTTACGTTTTTACCAAACTGCTTAAACCTGTCATGTCTGTGCTGAGATCATTAGGTTATCTTTCAACCATTTATTTGGATGACGTATGTTGTATAGCACCGTCGTATCGAGAATGTATGATGAATATGGCACAAACAAGGGCCTTGTTTGAATATTTAGGCTTTCTAATTAATGAGGAAAAGAGTTGTTTTATTCCTTCCAATAGATGCACGTACTTAGGATTCATAATTGACTCCAGAAACTTTCAAGTCTGTTTACCTGATGCTAAAAGACATCACATCTTAACAGAATTAACAAAATTGAGTCGTCTTCAACGTTGCTCAATTCGACACTTTGCTCGTGTTGTTGGTCTTCTTACTGCCGCTTGCCCAGGTGTACAATATGGTTGGCTTTACACAAAGCAGATGGAAAGATGTAAATATCTTGCTCTCCTGCAGTCCGATGATGATTACGATGCTTATATGAATATACCTACATATTTACAAGATGATTTTAAATGGTGGATTGGTTCAATTAAAAATGCAATTAATCCAATTAGAGAAGATATTTACACCTTAGAGATTTTCTCTGATGCAAGTAAAACTGGGTGGGGGGTAGTATGCAATGGAAAGACCGCGAACGGACAATGGAGTGCGGAAGAATCAGACAAACACATTAACTTCCTTGAATTACTAGCTGCGTATTTTGGTCTGAAAATATTTGCGGCGAATTTAAACAACACTCAGATATTGTTACGCATTGATAACACGACTGCTATATCGTATATCAATCGTATGGGAGGAGTAAGATTCCCACACCTGAATAAATTAACAAGAGATATATGGAACTTTTGTGAAACAAGAAACATTTTTATATATGCTTCGTATATACGGTCAAAAGATAACGATATAGCAGACGCGGAATCACGTCGGTTACATCCTGACACGGAATGGGAATTGAGTGACTCTGCTTATAATCTCATTGTTTATAAATTTGGAAAGCCTGAGGTTGATCTTTTTGCAACAAGACTAAACACTAAGTGCCCTAGATACATTTCATGGCATCGAGACCCAGGAGCATATGCTATTAATGCTTTCACGGTTAGCTGGAATAATCTTAATTTTTACGCTTTCCCTCCAGTATCGGTTATAACAAAAGTTATAAGAAAGATTATGTCTGACAGGGCCGAAGGAATAGTAGTAGTTCCCTATTGGCCTACGCAGGCCTGGTTTCCACTATTTAATCGACTTCTAGTGACAAAACCCATCATACTTGAGCCAGTTGAAAAGACACTTACTTTTGTCTCCAGCAGTGTGATGGCGCAGCCTCAGCTCAGACTTATGGCCGGCGTATTATCCGGGAGGCGTTCTCCAGAAGAAGTGTACCATCAAGTTCTTTAGATATTATTTGTGCGTCCCTGTCCGATAGTTCTATATCACAATACACTGTCGCATTTAAACGTTGGATGCTTTTTTGTAATTCAAATAATTTAAATTGTTACGAAGCGTCAATTCCAAATATCATTTACTTTTTCACAAGTGTTTTCAATTCAGGCGCACAATATGGAACTCTGAACAGTTACCGTTCTGCTCTATCACTAATAATAGGTTCACGAGTGAGTACCGATGATCGGATCAACAGACTCTTCAAGGGTTTTTATAAACTTAGACCATCTTTACCCAAATACAATATCACCTGGGATACTTCTATTGTTCTTGATTATTTAACAAATCTGTATCCCAACCAAAACCTACCTTTAGAACAGTTAGCTAAGAAAACACTCACACTCATAGCTCTTATTACAGCACATAGGGTGCAAACATTTTCACTCATTAAAGTTCAAAATATTGTGCGCTGTACAGGCATGATTTCCATTAAAATACCCGATACTATAAAAACTTCGAGACCAGGCGCTTATCAGCCATGCCTTACCATTCCATTTTATGATGCGAAACCCGAAATCTGTCCAGCCAAGACACTATTAGATTACATAGAGATTACTAAATTATTGAGAGGAAATATTGATCGTCTATTTATTAGCTACCGGAAACCATACAAACCAGTATGTAGCCAAACCTTAAGTAAATGGATTAAAAATACTTTAAATGAAAGTGGAATTGACACTTCTATGTTTTCGGCCCACTCCACGCGGCACGCCAGCACGTCCGCGGCCAGCAGGCTAGGCGTCAGCATTGACACAATTAGGAGCACTGCTGGCTGGAGCGGGACGTCTAAAGTCTTTGGAAAATTTTATAACAGACAATTAGATAATCGTCAGAAGCATGATTTTGCCATATCTGTCTTAGTTAGAAGATATTAATGATTAAGTCAAAGGTTGTGATTATTTTTAAATAACCTATCATAATTATGAATTACGATAGAAAATATATGTATTATTATTTATTTTGTATTTTTGTGAAGACACAATAAATAATTTCATTGATTATTATATGATTATTTTATTCAAAAATAATATTTCTCAGACTCTCAAGGTCTACAATTATTCTTCTAATTTCGAGGAATGAAGCTCGATGTATAATTAATGATTAAACGAACTTACCTTAGTGACGTTCTATCATAATTATACGAGGGCTTCATCCGAAGAAATTAGAACCCTCCCACCACATACTTACCCAAGAATACGAAATATTATTTTGTCCATGGTGTTATAGTAACTACGACAACATCTGTAGATGTTGTCTTGTGTATCCTACCACTTTCAACTAAATGAAGTTTGAACGAGCTACCGTTATGACGACTGCTTGGGGATACCAGTTTAGGATTTTATTTTACCTTTGTTATTTTTTTATTACTTTAAACTATTGTGTATGATTAGCGAGTAGTTGCACGAAACTACAATTATTCTTCTAATTTCTTCGGATGAAGCCCTCGTATAATTATGATAGAACGTCACTAAGGTAAGTTCGTTTAATCATTAAAAAAGTGGTTTGAAAAATGTATAATATGTATCGAAGCTATTTTTTAAAATAATTTGTTTGAATTCATTACATATTTGCAGCAAGTTACAGATTTAATTACTGCTAAAAGTTACCATTGTGGTTACCGTGTCAATAACATTTGTAATAAATTGCATTGTAAAGTTCAATGTCCAAATTGACACACGCACGGACACGTGACACCGAACTGTAATGTTTTAGTTAGGTATTATGAATAAATGAGTTGGAACTAGAATCTTGTGTTGATCACTTGGTTTCCCTGCCCTACACAACACTTGGCTACACACACGCTCGAAGTACCCACATTGGTGACCCCGACGTGATTTTCAACCGACGTGATCTTCAACCGACGTGATCTTCTCCAGTGCATCATCAAGCAAGAAAATTGCCAACGATGCCAGAGATACCAACTCCACAAGGCGTTTACCAGTATCAACAACAACAACAAGGAACGCATCCCAACGCACCGAGTACGTCATCTGCACAACAAACTACTGCGTCCGAAGTTTCATCCATCAGTGTGACCGCGAGGATTCCTGATTTTTGGATCGAGATACCACGACTTTGGTTCGCACAGTTCGAGTCAATCATGGCACCTCAGAAGCAGGGCGACGAATGCAAGTTTAATCTTGTCATCTCAAAATTAGGACGAGACACAATTCAACAAGTCGGCGACCTGTTACTCAATCCACCGTCCGAGCAAAAGTACAACGTATTGAAACAAAGATTATTGTCTATTTATGAAGAGTCTGCCGAGCGTCAATTCCAAAAACTCATCAGTGAAATAGAATTGGGAGACCAGAAACCATCACAACTCCTCAGAAAGATGTCAGAATTAGCACGGAATGCGAATGTTGCCGAATCCACCCTGCATAGTTTGTGGCTACAACGACTACCAGGCTCAGTCAGGGCGGTCTTAACGGTCAGCCAGGATCAGAAACTGGATAATCTAGCCGCCATTGCCGATAAAATCATGGAAAACGTAAGATTGCATGAAGTGTCTGAAGTAGCAAGCTCAAGCTCTTCAANAGTCAGAACATAGAGGCAAAATCTCGTAACGCCCGAAACGCACACTTTTCGACTCATATTTTCGTTATCCTACATTCTAAGCTGTACAAACTTTATTATTAAGATAAAACAACTAAAAACGGACAGATTAAGGCACTAACATTATTAAAATACTATTTCAAAATACATGAAATTGTTGAATATGTGTGTACGAACGTGACACCCGAAACGATGGAATGACCCTAAAGTTATGATAGTACCATAGTACCTACCTACCTATACCATACTTTAAAGAGCAGGTTGCTTAGTGCATGATTATGAAGGAACTTTGTGAGTTTTTGTCATAGGTACAGAGAGTATACGTTATGGATTATGGAAGGAGTGGTAGGACACCTGAAACTAGGGGACACAACGCGACAGGCTTGATTGAACGTATTGTTATGAAACAATGAAATAAAAAATATTTCACATACGAGTACCTACAATGTCTGTGTACTGTAAAAATAGATGATTACATTTTAAATAAGGTAACTGCTATGAAGCCCTTTTAATAGAATAACCAATATCCATGATGTAATGACATTGTCAATATTGTCATGATCTAGGAACCGGTATTCATTTCCGACCAATCAACATCCAAATTAGCACAAAATCTTGCAAATACCCCTAATTTGTTAGCGAGTCACGTAACTTTTTAATTAATTTATAATTTGACCAACAGCAAGCTTCTAATGGACGACAAACATAATGCATTAGTGACGTGACGTCATAAAGTTTACAACACACCTGGGATTTCCTATTTTAGCCGCCTTACCCACCCTTGACAGATAGAATATAATTTAGATAGTCGCAAACATAGCGTCAATTTTCACTCGACATTGGCAGAAATAAACCTCCCAGAGAGGTTTGGTTGCCATTAAAAAAAAATAGCACTTAGCCTAAAACTTGGAGAATAATGTAATGTCGATTTAATTGTAGTTAGAATTAACCCTTTGACAGGAAAAGTTGTTTTTGTTGCATTTCTATTAAATTAGATAAATTTCAAATTTGATAGTCTACAAAATTTACTAAACATATTGTCAATCAAAAGACAATTTATTAACATTTAGCTATCTACGTCAGAATATTATATGCCTAGTACCTACCTAAACATTATAAATATCTTCGAAGTGATAGCTGTTCATGAACGTGTTTAGCCGATCCCAGTCTAGATAGAAAAAGCTATCAAAACAACAGTTGTTTTAGTTTGCTATTAGTTTTATTAAGCAATTCTCAGTCCACTGAACTCTCTCATTTAGAAGTTTACAGTTTTGATAATTTAGTGATCTCCTAATGAATGTATGGCGAAGAAAGTGTTATTTCCAGTGTTACTAGAATTCAAAAAAGTTTTTACGCTAAGGCACGCAAATAAACGCTCCTGTTGGCGGTTTGCCAAGGGAACCCAAACACTCGGCACACGTAATTTTAAGAGATAAACACGGTATAATCTATGTATGCGGGCTTGCAAGATGAGTTTCTTGACATTTAGATCGCCAAAGAGTTCCTTTACCTCATTAGCAAGTTATTAATTGATTTCGTCAACAAATTATGCGTGATTTCCCATCGGAAATGTTTCTGTAATAAGGCTGCAAGATGGCTGCGTAGGAAAGAAAGTATTTCAAAATAGCCTCTATGCAGTTTTCCAGTACCTATAAGCGAGAAATATTGATGACATCGGAATCTTCCAGGCATCACAGGATGTCGACTACCAACAAGGTGACCGAGTTTTAGGATTCATTCATCTGTTTTGCTCATAGCGAGAAGCTGGCATGAGCAAGGGCTACAAAAGTAGAGACAGACCTTGAAAATACGGAAGCACTTAAGATACGTCCTACCTGGGCCCGCAGCGCAGGTACGAATTTTCAAGGAATGATGGTATTTTAATTCAGTATTTGACGTATTCATATACGGAAAGGATGAGGTCATCAAGGAGTTTTGTATTCTGGTTTTCTACAAAATTCTAAATATTCCACTTCCTCTGCATTCATGTGTGATGATGTGTTAGCAGCAGCGTTTCGTAGGTATTAAACGCTATCAGCGCTAATTTGGACAACATTTAAATTATGTGCGTAAGATTATTTCTCCGTAGTTAGGTATAACGAGATAGATAAAAATGCCAAGAGCACGACCTCAGCAACAATTCCAGATAAAACTCTAGTAGAAATACTGCAGAATCGTAAAACTGTAGAACTCATAACAAGCATAGCGCACGTACGCGGAGACAATGCTCGCAAAAATGCAGAACCCACGTGACGCTGCAGCTTGGAGTCAGCAGATATCGAAAACATCCGTGATGTCATGTTTGTCTCGTCCGACATTGACTCAATACCGGTCATCACCTATTAGTTTTCGTGATGAAAAAACCCGCTGATTCATTTAAGAGGAAAACGGCTACACAGCACTTGCTGTGCCAACTGTGAATAATTTCGAATTAAATTCGGGTCTGAGACCCTTGGCCCTCCTGATTGGATTTCAGATAAATATGCAAATAAAAGAAAAATTAGCCGTGTGGTGACGGCAGAGTAGAATACATTTGTCACCAACCCCTACTCTTCCCGCGGGTGTCGTAAGAGGCGACTTAGGGACTACACATCAAACAGAGAATGGGCAGCAGCGCTCTCTGAAAAACATCAATCTTTTAAACTGCGATCTCCAACCCGCCTGCCAAGCGTGGAGATTATGGCAAAACCCTCCACTATAGTGGAGGAGGCTCATAGTCCAGCAGTGGACTGTAAAGGGCTGTTGATGTTGATGATGTTGATGATGATGAAAAGAAAAATATATGGACGGAGCAACTGAACAGAGCAATTCATGGGTTAATCATATCTGCGTAGAATTTCGGCAGCTTTAGAGAAATCACTTTTTAATAAGAGAATGATATTAGGCATGGACACGGTTTGTAGCGTGTTTTATAACCCTTCATTAAGCTGTATTGAACTTATTATTATGAACATGAATAAATAATAACTATTGATCTTTCGAGCTGGCCTTGTAACATTTTACAACAAATAAAAAACACACGGGCATGGACGCGTAGGTCTGTTCTATTGCAAAAATGCGGGCACATTGTTCGCTATAAGAAAATACCATTAAAATGAAATGTTTTCATGTGAGGTTTCTGCTTATTTACCATCTTAGTAAAGAAAATTCCACAATTTTGAAAAATAAACTGTAGATTTGATCAAATTAAACAATAGGAATTCTGCAATCAAACACTCATTTGAAAACTGGTGGATCCTGATTAAATTTAAAATTTCATACAACAGGTGTGTGAAAAATTGGTTGCTGTCAAGTTCACCGATTTGTTTAATTTAACAGCTAAATTAGTCTGAGCTTGTCGTTTAAGCATAAAGGTTTGAGTTTTAGAATAAGGAAGATCACATAACTTCATCTCTTTTACTTTGTATTGAAAGCATTGCCTGCGGCCACGTAGGGCGAGCAACTTCACTGCTCGGTGACCACGGAGCAACCGTCTACCGTAACAAAACCGAACCGGTTTCCTGCCGCCCTTTATATTTCAACTTACCGCGACCACCAGATTGAAGAAAAATAGCACATATTTCACAAAACTCGTTCCACATCCCATCGTGAATACACTGTGAACGTATCTGAGTCACACAAGAACTTCACAAGTTGACACACGAGGGTCTAAACACGACAACCGCGCACAACCTACCAGCTGTGTAAGCCAAAAGCGACTGAGTTCGGAGTAGTAAAATGAACGTTGAAGGGAGATCGCGTTGGCGACGCTCTCCCCGCGCTCCTCGTAGGTACTCATGAATCGTGACCCCTCATTCACCTGTTCGCCATCTCGCTTGCACTAATTGGTAAGTGTATATTCTTTGCGTGCCGTCTCGCTCTTGTGTTTTCATCTCTAGACGGGATTCTCGGGTTGTGTCGGGCGGGATGTTTTGGATTCGGATTTTTTTCTGAAGACGACTCATGGAAAACACGTTTGGTATTTAATATCGGTATGTACCTATGATACGTCTTGGGACAATACTAAGAATCATTTTGTGTGAAACTCCATAGTAGGTAGGTAGGTACCTATCATAAATTCATAATGATGACTAACCTACTCACTAACTTGAAAACGCAAATAGGTTACCTATACCTACTTACCTACTTACCTACTGAGATAAGTAAAATTTTAAGATGATTATGGAAACAATAAAACAACTTTTAATTATTTCTTTATTTTCATTAGTTATTACTTATTCCTGGTTAGGTAGGTACAAGCTTTATTGCAAAACTTTTAAAAGTTTGTCACTTTTATTCATGAAACAGCACAATAGACAGCACTAGCATAGTACCTACAGTAAATTGAATACTGGTGCTACCCTACCGGTAGCAAACTTAGCAAATAATTAAATAGGTAAGCTTAAATTATTAGTTTAAGTTTTAACATATTTTACCTATTTTTTAGTTACCATGAATGATTTTCACGGGTAGCCTACAAAATGTCCTACAACGCGTAGGTAAAGTTTTCACATTTTGTGTCGAATAGTCATGTGACGTAATCACGTAACGAAAAATTGGCATGTGAGTTTTGTCTGGTGAGGGCTCTGTAAATTGTTTTAAGAACCTGCCCCCCAATTATGTAGGCTTGTCGGCATTCACTTTCGTTGATGCAAAAAGCTGAGTGGACACCGTTGCCATAAAACAACCTGCGCAAACGCAGCAGAGAAAGTCGGCCCACGCACAACACTTTCCAATACACGCGCCCTATTGGGCGTGGCAATGACAATAGCAACAGCCTTACACTGTTTGATGGTCAAAGCTTTTACCTGAGCCCCGATTACGGTAACTTTTATAACGTCTACAATCCAGACGCGTTTCTGATTCTGCGATACGATTGGTCAAAACAGCTGACGTACGCTGTTGAACGACCAATCGAAACGCAGAATCGAGAAGCGTGTCTGGATTGTTGACGTTAAAAATTACCGTAATCGGGGCTCTGATATGGTAACATTATCTCGTTAACCCCTGGTGCACCGGTATTGCGAATGTGCAAGTGCAACTGATAGGGCTGTGACTGCTGTGAGATGCCAGAATAAGCTTTCAATTAGTTGTTGGGCTATCAGCTTCCAGAGTGTAATGTGAGTGTTTCTATGACAAATTATAGGCTTTGCTGCCTGTCTAACCCAGCTTGTGCTGTCTGCACTTGAATGGAACTCTATTACCTACTCATTTGTCAATGAAAATTATTTTGTCCCTGCATCACAGATCCCAATCTCGACAGATCGCACATTGTTTACAATTACAATCGAATAATTATAAATTTTGCAGTAGTTATACCTACGAGGCTAGAATATAAACTGTTTGAAACAATTAAGATGGGCTCCTTACGTAACTGTGCAATAATGGCGAAGGTCACCCGACATTATTATTTTGTGACTCATGGAAGGCTTGAAACAAGTTATTCTTTGAATAAATTACGTAGTTTATGTATTTGTACTACAGCAATAAGTTATTCTAATAATAAAGAATTCTATAACATTCTCGTTTAGGCAAGTGTAACTGAGATTGTATCAATAATGAACGTCCTGTTATTTTGAATACGAAATCTAAAAGTTCCATAGCGAATTAGTCAACAAAAGGTCAGCAGTTAGCGACTAACCAGCAGAGATATAAAATCAGTAGGTACCTACCAACCACAGATAATATAATACTAGTGTACCAACCTACCACAATAACAACACTTGTGTGTGATCGCATTTTTATTTTAGCTGCCCACACAGACAGATAATACTATTTTATCTGTGTATCATAAATAGAGTTTAGACATTCATAATGGAGCCCCATGACTTCCAAGAAGGTCTGTTGTAAACAAAGTCCAGTAGGTAACAGTAAGTTTCATTAACTTTAAATCTCGGGGGATTACCGACCACGAAGAAACTACTTAATATGCTGGGTTGCACCACACCATCATACCAACTGTGATCATACTTTAACTTTAACAAACGTCAAAAATCTGTCAAACTTTACACAAAAAGCACCGGATCGTTATAGTTAGGTACGGTCAAAGTTAAGTAAGTGGTGCAACTCAGCCCTAACAGGTAGGTACTCAAGTTAAAAAAGTACCACAAACATTAATTTAAAATGGACATGGAGCATGGACTACTGGACAAGAATAGCCGGAGGATTGTAATAAAACTGAAAAGTTATCCTTCCTTTTAACATTTGATTAACAAAAAATATAACCGACTCCAAAAAACCACCTATATACCTACATAAATATTAATTCGTCCTAATAAATAAGTAGGTTATTAGTAATTATTTTTCTACTTTTTAATGTTGGTTTTTTGGAGTCGGTTTTATTTTTTTTAATAAAATTTTGCTTATTTATTGCTTTTTAGTTAACTAATTATTACCTTGATGTTACCACTGAAGGTAGGCAGTACATTGAGACCATACTCTTCATGTCTAGTGTAAAATAATATTCCCTACAAAATACAGGTTACCATATAGGAAACCTAAAAAGACCTTAAACCGTCAGCCCACCTTAAAAACATGAAAGAATACAACTGTTGGTCTATTTGTACTTATAATTAGAGATGAAACGGATAGTTGTTTGGCCGGATACCGGATACCGGATATCCGGCCAGCTGCTAGGCCGGATAGCCGGATATCCGGCGGCCGGATAGTTGGTCCATTGTCTCGTTGCATGTCGTGACGAGTATAGGGCCGCACAGGTGCTTCGAACGCGATCAGTGGGTCTATTAGTAGAATAGACTAGTCACACTTTTGGAAAATCGAATCCGTCCGAATAGAATGTCAGATTTTGCCACTTGTCTAGGGGGCAGATCAATTCAATTTCGGCTGCAATCGTGAATGAAAATGAAAATGAAAAAGTGTGTGATTGAATAGCGAAAATTCAACTATACTGGTCATCACAAAAATCGGCCCACCTACGTTTATTACGTTTTACAGGAAAACTCGTTTCTACTGACACAGTCATGGTGCCCCAACAATATTGGTGTTAATTGAAAGCCCAATAAATATCCTTAAAGAAAAACACATTTAATTTCTTAATAAACGATTAACATAAACGCGATATACAATAAATGTGACTTGAAAAAAGACCTCACTTTGGGCTCACCTCTGGGATCAATTAGACCAATTTTTATGGTTATAAAACCAAATAATGATCTCACGTGTCCTCTTTAACATATGGATAGCGATTAATCCCAACTTAACAGTTTTATAGCCATAAAAGTCGGCTCAAGCGTAACTACCTATTTTTTGAAGAAGTGACTCTGGATTCTTCTACAGACACATTTTTGGGGTAAAACCCTTTCCTTTAATGAAATGAAGTTTAGAACTAGGCTTTAATATTGGTGGGAAGTGGGGATGCATACGTTTGAAAGTGCTTGTCGCGGGAGGGTCGATCTTTGTGATGGCCAGTGTAGTTGCATTGTGTCATCAGACCATCAGTGAAAAAAAAAATGGCCTATTTAATTTGGCAATATTTCGACATTAACAGATATTTACTATTTATCTATGTATTCGTCATTAGAGTGAATAGCCCAGAAAAATAAATTAGTTTTGAAAGGCCTTAATATGGCTTTTTTGTAACTTTTTGGACTTTAAATAAAAGCCTTCATTATTGTAAGCCATTTTATTGATATTTACCTCAAAGATTAATGTATTTCATTTTATTAATAGGAAATTGTCGTTTTTTTTTAATATCCGGTATCCGGCCGGATAGTGAGTTACTATCCGGTATCCGGCCGGATAGTAAATTAGGGCCGGATATCCGGCCTACCGGATAGTTGCCGGATATCCGTTTCATCTCTACTTATAATATTTAAAGAATTATCCTCTAACTCCTAAGCATTAAGGAGTTTTACCTTCTATCATCAGCTCATCAATATGAGATGATGATTTCCAGGAGCAAATATATGAATAACTTAAGAAAAAGTTTGAAAAACGATATACGTGCCTATAAAATTTGAGGGTTGCTCTCGATTTCCCTAGGATCCCATCATCAGATCCTGACTTGGTGACAATGGGACCACCTCAGAAGTGTACCCTATCGAACAAAAAAAGAATTTTGAAAATCGGTTCATAATTGGCGGAGTTATCGCGTAACAAACATAAAAAAAAAAAAAAACATACGGGTCGAATTGAGAACCTCCTCCTTTTTTTGAAGTCGGTTGAAAAGCAGTGTCGATTGGCATAGTGGCGGGTAATTGCGAAGACCTTACTTCCGACGCCGGCTAGCAGGGTTGCCAGCTGCTGTGCCTCACTCTATTATGTTTCGCTCTATGATTATTTTGTGTTATCTTATATCAACCCATGTCCCCGATTTGGAACTAGACCCCTGACTGAACTTAACCTCTTGCTTGACTAGCAGGGGTAGTCAAGCAAGAGGTTAAGTTCAGTCAGAGGTCTTGTCCAGTCAAGTCCAGAAGAGTGGTATCTACTGTTTACATATAATATTTCAATAACAAGCTAAAATAATGTTATTCCAACCAACCATTATAAAATTAGGCAGTATCAAATCTATGAAATTTTTCGTTCCACCCCAGAAAAAGACCATTGTTCAAGGGAAGGCGCAGTGTACAAGCCTTAGCACCTGTCTAGGTGGCTATCAAGGCTGTCTAGCCTAAAAGGTTCCCGAAATGCGAGGAGCATATAAACTTTGTCAGGCAATATCTGATCGTATGCAAAAGTTGCCACTTGCCAACCCTGCGGCAAGGTTAAGCCGCTCGAAGAAATCAGCAACATTGACCAATACGCTAAAATGTTGGCAACAACGTTGTTGTGCACAAAACTTGCGTAAAACGACGCAACGTAATGTTAGTTTTCCCTTGCTGTTATTACTTTATTGCCTAATTAAATGAACTATTAGTTAAGTTGATATGAACCTGTTAACGTTAATGAATATTTAATTGCTTACCTGCTACCAGAAACTCTGGTTGGTTAGTGAAATTCGGAACTAGTTAAATAAATTTTTTTTTTTTTGTTGTCCGTCGATCCATATTTTCTACATCATTTTCAATATAAAATCTTGCAAAAGTTGTTCTATTCTCGAGATAAAATTATATAAGCAGATTGAAGATTTGGCATTATTGGAATTTAAGGTTAAAAATAAAACGTAACGTTTATTTCATCATTTATTGGTACAAATAGTTACTATAAAAATCCAAAATACTTTAAAAAACATTTGGGACAACCCTAATACTACACATAACAGCCATAATGCACACAACACACATTCAAATCACTTTAAACCATACAATTCATATAGTAATCACATCATACTAAAAGTTTCTTAAAAATAACGAAAATGAAGTCTTTCACTCCGTGTTTTAAATACTTACTTACATAGGTAAATAATATTTATTTGTGCGCATTTTAATACTACACAACCATAGTTTTATCAATTCCTTAATGTCCAGTCAGTGTGAGAGAAACACACAATACTTATTTTATGAGTAAAGCACTATTTTGTGGTAAAACATTTTGTGACATACATAAACACGGGCGGATTTCATTCAAAGTGTATGGACGAAAGCACATCAGATTATACATTTTTTTTGCAAATTAACATCTATCACAAATAGATAAGACCCCACAATGTGAAGCTTGACGTGCTCTCGTCTACAAAATGCTTTTGGCATTCGATTGAAATATCAAAACAACAAATGCTTTAAGTAACGGATGAAAAAGCACTTTTAAATGAGCTATAAAATATATTTGGGATCGACATCGATACTACTTACGATATGCTTATTTTCCAAAAACTAAAATAAATTCACTATCCTAAAGTCACAGTATAAAAATATCTATCGCCCAGTATTAAATTCGAGTCACCTTTTCCGATTACTTTTTCAGCCCGTATTACGAATTCAAGCATAAATTATTCTGTCATGGTGTGATTTGGTCCAAATAGCTAAGTTGCTGGCAGTTCCACCAACGATCAAAAAGATCGTCGTTGCTTATTTGTATTTTTTTACTTTTTTAAATCTTTGGTCTCCTTTTAAAGTCTTGTTTTAATATCAGACAATACTGTCAATACACTATGGTTAGCTCGATGAGATGTCTTTCTCTACCTTCTAGCATAACAGCCACCACCAGGCACTACAGTCCAGAAATACAGTCCACACAAGCAGTAGTAAGTTGTAACAAGTTAATTACATACTTTAACCAATCAGTAGTTTCGTAATACGGGCCTTATACTCTATAGCTTATGAGCTGGTCCAGATGACGCGTTTTTACTCGCACGATTGTGAGGTTCATTTTCAAAACGCGCGAGCGGCAAAACAAAAACGCATCATCTGGACCTCTGTCAGTTTACTGTCAAAAACTTAATACTTTGGCAAGGTCGCGGCAGGAGCGGTGGGAGAGAGAAGCGAGTCGTCAGGCGCTGAGAAGGTGGACTCTCGCATGGTGCTGGCCCGGATGGAAGCCCGGCGCCTCTTGTGGATGGCTTGGGCTAAGAAGAACGTGCAGAAGATACCGGTACTCTGGAACAATAGGAGAAGTTATTGAGCTGGTGTGAGTGCCATTTGCCTCTGGTACAAAAGGGGGTCGCTCCGGCAGTGGAGACTAAATTTTCTGATTATGATGAAAGTCTAAACACAATGTAGGTATTTTTAATTGGGAACCTTGGTCTGCTTTTGAGGAATCTCAGCATTCTCAGCTGATGGCATTTTGTAAAAGTGCTAAAAGCTTGTGTTACAAATGGATTCACCACAATAGACGAGCGGTGCGGCGGCGGGGTTCGAACCCGCGATCCTCAGACCCCTTCGTCGTTCAGCTATTGTGACCTTAGCTGCTGATAACTGATGATGTGTTGAGATCTTTATAAGCTGGAACTGAATCCTTTGAGTAATCCTGGGAAAACTTTCGTGCTCCTCAGAAAATCTCACACAAACTTTCATGTTCCTCAGAAAATCTGACACAAATATTGCTAGTGTATCGCATTCCTCAACTTTCTGGGATCTCGAAGCATAAAATTATGTATGGTTAGTTTTAAATGCGTTATTCTAGATAATCCTATCAGGGTGCGGGTGTGATTCACCAGTCAGGGAATAAAAAATCAACAATATTAACAACTATTTCATCACTATTTATAACTTGAAGATAACGTGTAGTTGGAATATACAGTTTCACATTGTTTACTCCACTTATCATCATAATTTTAAATACTAACAGTTATCACTAGAGCGCTAAGGTTAAAAAACATATGACCGCCCATAATAATAATAACAAGTATTAAAATTTATATAATTACATAACATCGTAGGAATATTTTTATTTATGCATTTTGACTTGATGAATAGTTTCAAAAAAATTTTAATTCGTAAATCCCCATATGAAACGATAAACGATTGGTTTCTGTACCTCTAGTACGAAAAACTTTCGAGTTCGTTTCGTTTGCGTATTAAAAGTGTCATCGAAAAATTTTGTATGAAAAATTAAACAGCGCCCCCTAGGGCGGCTATAATATAGGGGGCGCTGTTTAATTTTTCATACAAAATTTTTCGATGACACTTTGAATACGCAAACGAAACGAACTCGAAAGTTTTTCGTACTAGAGGTACTGGAAGGAACACGTGTAATGGTAAAAGCAAGGATAATTTTATGAAAAACACCTTCATAAACAAATATTCATAGTAGGTAAGTATTACAGTACAAGGATACCCAATAATCTCAAACCGCACGCACGTTTCATCAAGAAGAGCACGAAGATGCGCATGCGTCGACGATGAGTCAATTTAATTGTCAACTAATGAAGTAAAAACACTTTGGACAATTAGTACTGGCTGTTTTCATTTGCTGGCCACTTTTACTTTTTAATTTTGAATTTAAAATTTGTCTAGAACGCGTTTCGAATGGTTTGTCATTCCTATCAAAGCACGAAGATGCGCGTACGCAGACGAGATGAGTCAATTTAGTTCCTCGCACTCCCTTGGCGCTAATGTCCTTCATTAAAACTAACGAAGTAACGCCCTGCTATCGCTAATTGGCTGTTAACGGACCGAACTGTTCATGAAGATGTCAGAGATGGTAAGACATTCTTCTATAAAGGTCTTAGCTGTAGCTTACAAGAAAAATAAGCCTTGATTGAAAATAACTAAAGAAATAAACCCCACATAATAAGTTAGCTCATGCATATTTTTTTAACCCTAGAATCAATTTGTTGTTCCATGCAATAAGTATACCTACCCAGAAGCTATGCCAGAAGATTGTAGCGTTGCCTATTTACCAGTGCTATGAATGCTTGTTTGATCTAATGCAAATACAATGTCTTATGAGCAAACAACAAGGAAAACTGTAACACAGTTTCCTTCATGATACCTACTATAAGCAGAGTCATTTGTAGGCAATAAATATCATGGAAAAACCTTCTTATGGTGACGTGGTTTTGGTTACAAAAAAACGCCTATTGTTTCTCAATTAGTCGCAATATTCAACAGTCGTTTTTGGACGATCGCATCTACAGTAACGTTTTCAAGTGCCTTCTACAAATAAAACACATTTGTTTACACAGTTGTAGGGTCATTATTCGTTACTACGCGTAGAATAGTATTACTATCACTCACTACTCAATACAGTAGTAACTCTACCAGTGTCGCTATACTGCTGTAGTAGTTCACTAGTGTGAAGCAGTCGCAGTCACAGTACGAGTATTGTTGCAATTCACGAAGGCGAGTGAGCTTTACATGTGAGGTGCTCGCTACTCGCTCAATCGCCTTCGTGAGTTGCAAGAACTACTGACATACACAATTATTATTCAGGAATCAGGAGTAATGACGTAGAGATGTTGGATTTTTATAATGATTCATTAGGGTTATCATCAATGATGATAGACAGACTGACCACAATGTGATCATCATTCTGATGACATTAACAGAGTTCAAATAGGAAAATGCTGAAGGAAATTACAGATGACTAAATAAACAGTAGGTGGACTTCTAGTAGATAGAGACGAGGCAACAAGACGTTTGAATGTAAACTATAGTTGGTTTTATATTTTTGAGCTTCTTAGGTATCTTTATTACTGTCCAAATGCTGATAAATCAATTTTTAACAACGGATCATTATTGAATTCAAACTCTACATGGATCATCGACTGAAACCAGTTCATTATTTTGTATAAAATCGTAATTAAGTATTATTACGTACGCATGTCTTTTACTTCTATAGTTATGTTATCTTAACATGAGATCATGTAGTTTCAAAGAGTATTTTCTTGTCCACCCAATTACCTACTCAACGTTCAAGCTGGTCAGTTGGCCAAGCGATGACGTCATGAACCGACGTAGCAGTTGCATGCCGTCACGCAGCCCCGCTTCTGATTTTTGCTTCATTACCAAGTATGATTCACAACGATCATACTTTACCTGTGTAAAACACAAACAGTCACGTTCACTCATCTTTGGTTTGATAACCTTCTTGTTGATCATTTAGAAGCAACGTTTGTATTATGCTTTTCCTGAATTTTGTCTCTGATTCCATGTGTGGACGGGGAATAACCATCAGATAATCAGAAGCGCAATTACCGACCGTTTGGTATCATAGGTCACGTTGTCATCAGTATTGATGATGACTTCATTGATTTTAAAAATAGCACCCAGGACGATTTAACTTGACTATTAAATTATAAGCAAAACTAGCACAGATTTAATCTAGATGTAACTGGAAATCCGATTTTAAACAAAAGAAACCAGTTACAGATCGTCAACGATTCCAAATGTTGGCCTAATGCCCAATCCAACAAAGATAAAGTGCAAATGTTGGTCCAAACGTGGATCCTGCGGCAAATTCCTGACACCTGAGACGAGGTGGCTTGCTCCAAAGCTTACAACACGTCACGCACGTAGAGCCAACGGACTTTTGGTATGTCCAAGGTCGAGCCGCGAAAACGCTATAAAATGTGCACTCCGGTTCTATATTGGCTCACATAAAATTCTATATCCTATTCTTTGTCTTACTACCGATTTTTGTTCATAATAATCTCTCTTCATAATTTTATTTTTCATACTTTTTTTATTCATACATTTTTATTACTACCATCGGAGCTCATAACAGTTAGTAATCATATTTTTTTTATCAATACTGTCACTACCAAGAACCATTTAAAATACATAATTTTTATTTTCAGTACTTTTTTCTTCATAACATTCATTGATCATATTGTTTTAATTAATAATGTTGTTACTAAGAACATACTTCAACTCATAATGTTGTTGTTCAGATTAATTTACTTTATAACAGACATACTCGTATCTTTAAAAAAATCATATATAATTTAATAGAGTAGATAAGCATGCAGAGCATGCAGCATGAAAGCAAGCATGCAGCATGCATTGGTATCTCCTCGTCTCCGGCGCTGCGGGATGTGCAGCCCTTCCGCCCTTGCGTAACGAGGCTCAGGCTTGAATGATCAAACGAACTTACCAAGTGAAGTTCGATCTAAATTATCCTGTTTTCGCCGAAGAGATTTAAGGTCCCTCCCAACCCGAAGATTTCTATATCTTCTTCCCTGGAGGTAAACGTCAATGTCATCTCTTCTCTAAATATAATGAGACCGCTCGGACACCGAGCCCACAGCGTGGTAGGGGTGGGGTTGCCCGCTCTTTTGTTTTTTAATACTACTACGCTGAATATTGTGTGCGGATTGGGTTGTCGTACAGGGGTACTACATGGTAAAATAAATCTCTTCGGCGAAAACAGGATAATTTAGATCGAACTTCACTTGGTAAGTTCGTTTGATCATTCAATTATAGTTATTTATTCGAATGATTATGAGTTTCGATCATTAGTATAGAAAAATATATGAAAACAAATATTAGTAAAAACTAAGTGTATGATTAGTGATATTATGAATATCAATGATTATGTTTTTAAATATGTAGGTTTTAAATTTTTTATGAAGAATGATCATTATGGTATCAAATTGTATGAGAAATATTTTCGGACCTCCAATGATAGGAATTGAAAAGTTATGTAAGAAAATGCGCTACCGTGCACTCCTACGTTCTTTAGCATTAATACAGAGTCGATATGGCACGTATTCGTGTCAAATCCCATATTTGTCTCGCAATACTTGGTTGGCAATTAATATTTGTATATTCAACTGGGTCTAACTTGTAAAATGTCAAAGCTCTACATGCTTGTGAAATTCACTTTTACGTATCATAAAATTGAAACAAATATCAGTCAATTATAGCTTTAAGTAAACGCAATACTGCTCCATTTTAAGTAGGTATTCACTCTCAAAAGACCCAAATTCCCGGAACACTGAAAGAAGTACTTAAGTTTAATTATAAACCAAGAAACTACTATAGTTAAACTATTACACCGTTGACAGACTAATCAAGCGACTGATTGACGACGGGGAACAGAAAAATTCTCTAGTTAACATTATTTTAATTTATGACTTAAGAACGTCGTTGTTTATAACTCAAGTTTCGTGAGACGTAATGAGAGCCCTCTGTTTGCGATAACATTATGTATG